GGCAGCAGCGTGATGTAGGTTTGCATGTGATCTTTGTGGTGGGACTTGTGGGGGGCTTTATTACAACCTTGATTTCTGGTTGGTTTAGCCAGTGAACAGTCAGAATGGGAAGCATGGAGCTTCCAGTATGTAAATACCCTATGGAAGACAAGCATTGTAAGCGCCAGGTCTGCGTTCTGACTCGGTGGCTGAGGTGCATGGATATATCCCTGCCTATTCATTTGAATTGTAGTTGATATTCACTTGGTTTGGTTGTCCCATCCCACATCTTTGGTGCTTTATTTTTCTCTAGAAATGAGAGCTCCAATACCTTTTCTGCTTGTTCAACCAGAAGCTTGTTTATACCAGACTTTGTCTGTAGGCAGACAGCTGTCTCCTGTTGGCGTGTGCAAGGCTTTAGCCTTCTATGCATGCTGGGGGAGGGCAACTTCACAACACAGCAATAAATCAGCTCATTCTGGGGGTGAGAGGGAGTGGCTGTGTACAACTTGCCGGCCTGCTTCAGAACTGGCTTTTCACAAGCCTGTCTTGTCAGGAAAAGCACTCCTTGCGTTTTTCTGCATTTCTTTAGAGCCTTCTGGTGTAACGATAGATTGTTGTCTGATGAGCTCAAAACAAGCTGGATTAACCTCTCGATACTGAATGCTTTGGGGGAAAGCCATATGCAGGAAGCAGAAAGAACCACGGCTGGAGTATATCGTAGGAGGCAGGTGCTGTTTGCCCAGCCAGTAATTTAATGAGCTGCAGATGGTGATTCACTGGAGTTGTTTACTATGTTCCTGAGTGTAGTATTGGAAGAACGAAGACACTGGTCACCCTGCACCAATTCATGTGCTGTGTTGTTCAGGCTTCCAACAACTCAACTGCTGAAAATCTATGTAATGCTTTTCACTGCTGAAATAGCTGTCCTCAAATATGTTTTTTAAGGTTTGCAATGCCATATGGAAACAATTCATTCTGCTGTTCTTTAGGAAAAGGTGAAGCTTCACCTTTGGGCAACAGACAGGAACTGCAGCTGGAGTGCTGCTTGTCTCCCTTGTGCCACTGTTCTCTAGCTTGTGTCTGAGGAGTGTTGCCAGCATGTACTTTTCTCAAGACTGGAACTGGGAAATGTTTCCTTCCACGTTGAGCAGCTGTTTAAGGTTTTCTCCTTCTAAATGTCAGATGAAGTCTTTTTCTAAACTTGGGAAGTAATGAGGTTATTGGTCTAGTGGGAAGTGTCCCTGCCCATGGCAGGGAGGTTGGAACTAGATTGTCTTTAAGGTCCCTTCTGACCTGAACCAGCCTGTGATTCCATGATGTTCTCTAATACAAAGCTGCGACCACACTGGCTCCAACAGGCACACGGCTGCATCAGAGCAAGCCTAGGGAGGGAAGGTGCTGGCAGGCAGCAGGAGCATCAGTATCTTTTCTCATACAGTCACTGAAACAGAGCATGTTTTATTTTGCAGCACACTTTAGCATGTGGAAGCTGAGCAGTTTTGTTTAGTCTGTTCTACTGTCATCGGCGTGAAAATCAACTGCATCACAAAAAGGTGAGGCTGAGTCACCTACACCTTTAGCAGGTATGTGCATGTGGTGTCAAACAGCTGTGTGCCACGTGTGGTTCTCCCTGCACACCATGGGGTTCTGGAAAGGTAAGTTTAGCAAGAGGTCTTCTGTTGACATCATAGAGAACCTACCTGACCACTTTAAACAGTCATAACAGGCGCTGGTTCCTTGGTGCTGGTTTGGGGATCAATATGCGTGGGAGAGCATGCGGATCTTTCTAGGACAGCAATGAGGTGGTTTTGTTTGCACACTGTGTTAAATGGCTTCCTTCTGAGCCACTGCTCCTGTAACAGTTGTGCAGAGGGCTGGCAGCTTCCCAGCACCTACAGCTGGGCTCTTGCGTTTTCTTCTTTTGGTCTCTCATGGCAGATGCTGCTTCCAGAGCTTAAGTGTTGCCGACAGCATGGTGTCAAAAAGGTTGGTAAAGGTGTCATGTTAAAATTGACTCCTCCACCACATAACTTCACTTCTGACTTAATCATTTCCGTAGTTCTCCCGTCTCATTCTTCCACTGTCATTGCACGCAACCTGTCATACTGTGACCAGCACAGTTGTTCTGTCAGCCAATTTAACTGCCTATCAGCATGAGACACTTGGATATCAGTGTCTCCAGAGAGAAAAAGTGCATGTTTTACACTCAAACAGGAGCTTTAGAAAGTCTTAATCGAAAAAGTGCTTTTAATGCTTAATGTTTGCAAAATAACATGAAAACTTTTGAAGCCAATGTAACTCGCACCTTGGTATCTACAAAGGGATCCTAGTAAACATAATTGTGTACGAAAGCAGGGCCATCAGTTCTGTATTTGAACCTAATCTTCTACTCCAATGCTCTTGTTTGAAATAGCTTTAGCTTTTTAAGTTTTTTACTTGTAAGAAGCAGCCCAGTTTATTTTCAAGCTGCCCTTTGGTTTTAGCTCAGCAAAATAGCTACTACGTGTATTTATGATTTAGCATGACATTTATTACCTGTTTTTAAACACCAAATCTGTGATACTGAAAACAAGATTCTCTTCAGAGAAATCATGGGGAAGTGGAGAAAACATGATGTTGTCATCTTATGAATGTAATCCACTCATGTTCTCATTTAAATGACAGAGAAGCTGGAGTCTGAACTGTGCCAAAGTGGGTTTTTTTAATCTTCAAGAAAAACCCTCAGCTGTTATATCTTGTCTGCACCAATGTTTTGATCCAAAAATCAAAGCCAGTGGAATTCTTAGTAAACACTGCCAGTGGTTCATTTGAAAGGTGGATAACTGCTTGTGTAGAAGAGACTGCTTGCTTTTCGAGAGAAAGTTAAGACTATACAGAGGATTTTTCTCTTGCTATATGGCCACATGAATAAAAGCACTACACTTGGCCTGCCTGCCCTGAAGTATAAAGATCAGCTGAGTCAATGGCAAAGACATATTCTTTTTCTTGCATGTTACGGCCAAGGCTCACTGTGGATTCAATACCCTGTTTTAAGCATGAAGACATCCATGTTTTCAGTCAACTTTATTCATAAAATAAGTTTACTGTACAGTACACAATTCTAGCAATAAATTCTTTTCAAGCCATCTGCATTACAAAAATAACAGGTATGCAATGAAAAATAGTCACTCCACACACCGTGAAGGTTCTGTAAAATCCTAAAGTGATCAGGTCAGGGGGATGAAAGGGGAGAAGTATCAAATGTGAAGACTAGGAGTAGATAAATTAAGTCACATTTTTCTTTACAAAAATAAACACTAATCAAGCATTATTTCATAATAGAGCAACCTTAAGAACTGCCACAGACTAACACTCCCTCTCTGCTATACAGTGCTGGAGACTGTTCTTGAAAGGCAAACCAGAGTGTCAGCCAGGAAACAGTATTCAGCATTACATGGATATAAATGTCTGAGACCAGTCAATGGCTGAAAAGACATTTATAAAAGGAATCACTTAATCAAATGAACCCCAAACTTTTTGTGAGTTTGCAACAGCAAAATACTCCATTGAAAAAAAGGGTAAGTCACCAGCTTGCAAGCTACAGCAGGAATACAAAATCTAAATGAGAGCAGCATTGGCAAGGCTTTATAGATGCTAATAGCAGACAAGGCTGTTCTGTGCTTGAGCTCAAATGCTCCCCAAACAACTCCCACCAGGTGTTAAGTTTGGAAGTGGTTAAAACTTTTTGTTTTCCCATGTACATGAAAGTCCTCACTATATTCTTAAGCCTAGAAACAAGCTGAGGTGCTCTGGAAAGACTAATAGCAATTCCTCAACTTATTTAAAAAAAATGCTGTGAAAATTGGGATAGCATGAATTTATGTGTCCTTTCAACTGCATTTCTTCCCATCTGCATTGGTTCATTGAAAAACAGCATTTATTCTCTCTGCCAAACACTCCTTTGCCACCACTTCATTTTTTCCTCTTAAAAGCACTATGGGAAGCAGGGCAGCAACAGAACAAAAATATTAAGTTCCCTATAAATGAGTTTATTGGGCCCTGGAAGTTCACCCTGAGAGCTGGGGTGAGTTTACCTTGAATCCAGGGAAGCTGTACTGAGTCAAAGGGAAGTTACATTTGAAAATGACACACTTCAAAGTGTTTGGTGCTTAATTCTTTCTGCATTGTTGCAGCTGAAAAACAAATCTGATTAACAGTTGATTTCAGAATAGAGGTTCAGCTTACTTTGCTGCATGATGTATTAAATAGCCAAAATACTCAACTGCAGGTGGCATTTATAGATCTGCAGTTGTCTGTGGTTGAAAGCTTTCACTCTGCTGCTATTGAGTATGCTTTCCAAGGAAAGAGTAAATTAATGTGCTGGATAAAAAGTGATGATATCCATCAAAAGTAGGAGTGTTCTTGCTGCCTAGACCAAGAAGGGATAGTCAGACAAACAAAAGCCAAATATCAATTATTTTGGCATCTCTTTACTACAAGCCTACCTTGCGTAGCACATCTATCAGATCTGCATACAACATCAGCTGCACTTTGATCTAGAAAAGCTAATTCCTTTTCACTTCTGCAAGTATTGCAGGATTAGAAGTGAGCAGTCTATTTGTCAGTATAGCATAGTGAAACTTTCCCTAGTGCAAATATACACGTACCTCAAACTTACTTAAAAACCTTCCTGATGAATATTTAGTACTTAAAATTGAAAAATGAAGAGTACTAACTGCAGGCTGCCAGCTAATTGCAAAAATGCTGCTGCTGCTGCACAGGTGCTTTCAAATTGCCATTTCCCAATCCGAGAAGAAATAAATGGAACTACTGTGGCTTCTTGCTTCTAGAGAACTGAGCCTGCTTTTCTCTCTTAAAAGTAAAAGCCTAAGGAAGAATTATAGTGTGCTACCTGTGTTCCAGAAGCCAACAAAGCAGGAGCAGCTCTTTTCATGCTTTGAAAATACAATTAAGTAGACATTTTTTTAAAGAATTGTGTTCAATTTAAACAAAGAAATATTGAAAAGCAAAACCATGGCTTCTGTTTGGACAATCAACCTTATATTTGAACAGGCTAAATCACAGACATCCTTATGTTTTAGGCTGCCTGTGCACCCTTTCCATTAACCAGGTTTGTTGCAACATGAGAATCTATTAAAAACATATTAAAAGGAAAAAAACATGATGTGGACCATGCACAAAGCATATTCAGAAGTTACTACTTTTTAGCGAGAGATGAGACTTTAAAGCTTACCTTCATTATGTAACAGGCACACTGAAACTTTTTATGAACAAGAATTTAGCTAAATTCTGTGAAATCTTGTCTTTTATCTGTAAAATGATGTCATATAAAAAGAATTTCCAATGGGGTAAGTGCATGAATCCATTTCCTATGAAAGTTAGATCTATGGCAATTAAGTCTGTCCCTAAGGCTTTTGTAGAATACCAATTGTAATTTGTCTTACACAGTATAAAAGCCACTAAACTGGAGTTTAAGATGCATTAGCTTGCTGGTGCCCTATTCAGTAACAAGTGCTTGACAAGTGACCCCTGATACTCAGTTTGTAAAGTGTGCAATTGAAGCTTGTGGGCTTCCACAGTCTTCAGCTTTTCCTCAGGCTCAAATCGCTGCTTGTTACTAATCCTGACAGAGATGTGCTCTCTGATGCATCTTCTTTCTTGAGGTTCAGAAATGATTCTCTGGTTATTTGAAGAATTTCTCTCAGGCCTTTGTTTTCCTGCTGTAACCAGAGAAAGAAAAAGGTATTTAAGAGAACTCCAGAAAGAAGTCAAGATAACTCCATTAACAACCTCCCCTCTACTCCAAACATATGTACAAGGATTAAAATACTGATATGCAGTCAGGTGGTGCTATGTTACTTTTTAAAACTGAGAACTTTAGGTTTCCGACTCTCTTGCTCTCTTGAATGGGCATTAAGCATTAAAAAAACCCCTCAAAACACAAAGATAGGTAAGAAAAGAGTAACTAAGTTACATTTAAAAGTAACATTGTTCTTTCCACACACACTGTCCCATAATTAACTGCTTTGCTAGTACTTAATCAAAGAGCAAAACTGTGGCTCCCCCAATGCCAAGCAACTGAGGATCTCCCCAAAGGCACAAAATTATTACTAAAAAACTAATCATATGTAAAAGCCAAAGGTATGGATATTATTATTTGCACCCTAGTGTCTCATCAGGATGAATCTGTATTATTTCCTAGCTTTTGGTTACATTCCTAGAGACTTCAAAAAAAGAGAAAGCTTAAGCCAATATGTATATTCTTCATCATCAGACATCAGTGACTGGTATCACTATGCAAGACTTGAGGAGAGGACGGAGGGGAAAACAGCACTCCAGCCCTCCAACAAGGAAAGTGCAACAAAATAGCAGTGTGAGTGACTGATAAAGTAACTCATACGAGATAGAGTAACCGAACAGAAACAACTGTGTTAATATTTACTGCCTTGCTCTTGGCAAGGCAGTTTTGATTTTGTACTTACCTCCAGCTGAAGGATTCGTTCCTGCTCTTTACAACCATGCTTTTCATCAATTTCAATGGCTTTCCTCATTACTGCCGCCATTTCTGTAATTTGGTCCACATGTACTTGCAGCTCCTACAACATAAAAAAAGTAAACAATGACAGTGGGTGTTGGTTGATAAGAAGCTCAACATGATCCAGCAGTGCTTATTTGCAGCCCTGAAAACAACCATGTGCTGGGCTGCATCAAAAGGAGCGTAACCAGCAGGTCAAGCAAGGTGATTCTGCCCCTCTGCTCTGCTGTTGTGAGACTCCACCTGAAGTACTGCGTTCAGCTCTGAGGTCCCAAACATTAAAAGGACATGGAACTGCTGGGAGCAAATACAGAGGAGGTCACAAAGATGCTCAGAGGGCTGGAGCACCTCTGTCATGAAGACAGGCTGAGAGAGTTGGGCTTGTTCAGCCTGGAGAAGAGAAGGCTCAGGGGAGACCTTATATAATGGTCTTCCAGTACCTAAAGGGGGACTACAAGAAATCTTGGAGAGGGGCTTTTTACAAGTGCACGTAGGGATAGGACAAGGGAGAATGGCTTTAAACTGACAGAGGGGAGATTTAGATTAGCCATTAGGGAGTTCTGTGAGGGTGGTGAGGCACTGGCACAGGTTGCCCAGAGAAGCTGTGGCTGCCCTACCGCTGACAGTGATCAAGGCCAGGTTGGATGGGGCTTGGAGCAACCTGGTCTAGTGGAAGGTGTCCCTGCCCATAAGCAGGAGGGTTGGAACTAGATGGTCTTTAAGGTCGTTTCCAACCCAAACCATTCTGTGATTCTATGACAGTAGAGTTTGAATAAAGAACAAGTTGAGGAAAAGGCAGTGAAAAATAAAAGCTTTTGGAAACACCATTAAAATATTTGTTTTCACTGACCACCTATCATGCCAGCCTATTTGTGTCTGACCTGACCTTTGGACAAAATTCACCACAGCTACTAACTAATATTGGGAAAAGCAGAACAGTAGACTGAAATAAAGAACAGTATAGACTAAAGTTAAATCCCACCTTTAAATTACGAATTTGAATGGAGGTCCACACATCTAGCAGATGATCAGCTTGCCTTTAAGCTATCAGAAACGATTAAGCTACCATAAAGAACTGCCTCACTTGGAATCATAAACTTGATGTGACCCAAATATACTTTACTAAAAGAAACATCAACCCTTTCCATCCTTTCCTCTCTGGCACCTCAATTGCTAACGCTGTTGTTCAGCTGTTTACTTATTAAACACCCACTCAGAGCAGAGGAAAGGAAGGGGGAGGGATGGGGGTAGAACTTGCTGTAAATCTTCATTTTCTTCTCAGTTGCCACTGAAGGTGATCATAAGAGACTTTTTTTTTTTTTCCCATCAAAAAACTAAATTTACCTTGAAGCTGTGATCAGTGGTAAAGAATGAGTTAGTGAGGATGTACCCTTCAGAAGGGCTGAGAAGGAGGTAGTGGGTTTTAGATATACTGACTACTGTCCTCCCTGCTTCCTACTTTGCCAGCTTACATGGTCTGTTGATCAATATGATTCAGGACCTATTCCGAGGTCACTAGTGTTAGACCAGATGCTAAAACAAATGTGTAGAGTTCTACTCTGGAAAGCACATGCGCAAAACTTACATGCTTACAGTCAAAGAATACAATGAAAGTGTTTCTTTACAAAGATAGCCTCAAACATCTATGAACACTTTTTGCATTTCTCTCCTTTCTGTTTGCCACATACCTCATTCACAATAGTTTACAAAAATATTGCTTAACAACACTTTGCTTTTCTAGTTTTCAAAAGCCATAAAAGGCAGCAACCTTTCACCAGCAACTTCCATCACCCTTTAAGCACCTCAGGCTGCCCTAGATAATACTCAGCAATCCTGATCAGTACCGAAACAAGGGTTGAAGCAGGAAAGAAGAGAAGTGTATGTTCAGTTACTCACCATTCAAAAGGGCCTTTAAATATCTCAGGTTTACTAATTATTTGTTGGAGTCACAAGCATAAGTTAAAGCCAGTCTAAATGTCTGAATTACTAAGTTCTGTGGCCTGTGGAAGTATAATAAGGTGGCTGCCTTAAAGACTGAAGCAAAACAAAAGAAGTAGATACAGTAATGAAATGCTACTTTTTGAAAGCTTAAATAAATGAGAAGCCAGTAAGGTTGACTTGACTGATCAAGTTCCTGATCATGTTTCATGGACTGGACTAGAAAAATTAGGACTTGGTAGTACAGTGATACAAAACCTGAGACAAATTAACTGATCCACTACAAACTAACTGAAGTATTACCCAAGAAAAACAAAGGAAAAAAACCCCACAACTAAACGATTAAGTTATTACCTTGGAATGTTGCTCTTTTAACTTCATTATTATACTTGGATCATCCTTTTTGCTCGCCATTAGCAACCTAAACATCTGTTCTCTGTACTTGCTCATTATGAGTTCCAGAGCAGACTGGTGTTCTTCAAGAGATGTGCGCAGTTCTACCAAAATAATTTTCATTTCAGTTAGAGCTTAACAGAGAAGAACTAAAACAAAATACAAAAGCACTTCAGCTTAAGAAAACTGAAATAAGCCCTTAATGAAGTGCTCCCTCTCCTTGCACCATAAAATCTGTGTAGGCTCTGCAGATGTCTTCAGTGGTGACTGCCCTGGGAAAATTCTTGTCAGAAACAGACGTCTTTTGTTAATACAACTTCATACCCAATCCCTTTAGGTGACATAAGCCATGTTGAGTGTAGCTGAGCAGCTTTACTCTAGCCACTATAAGCAACACTGTACAAAAGCTAGAAAGAAGTTACAGATCTGTTTTAATCTGACAAATAAGAGTTAAAAAATGCTCGTGTTCAAAATATACTAAGTCAAAGGACAAATAACGCCCAAGATAAGATGAGATTCATACAAATCAAGATCATTGAAATCTTTGCTGAATATAACTGTTAGAATAAGTATGGTATTCCAGGAAGAACAGTTAATTCCTAGAGTACAGAATTCCAGAAGGAATTGTGCTACCGTGCTTACCCTACAACTTCTCCTGACTGTTCCTAAATTGGTTATTTTTAGCAGTGGGAAACACATATCCAAATAGATACCTTTATTGCAGAATTAAGTTCTATTTATCTCACTTGTGCTAAACATTAGATAAGGACTGAAAAAGTAATTTTCCACAACTCTCACTTTTTGTCAATCATAGTTCCAGTGGCTGGACATTAGAACTCTTTATTAGATTGTGTTATAATCAGTTAAACTGACAAATTAAGACTAGAAGAAAAACTTCAACAACAGTTTTTTTGAGAACAGAGCAGTGGTGAAAGTGTCACCGATTCCAGTGGTGCAGGTTGGAACTTGAAAACGATAGAGTATCATTTTACCTTTATTTTCCTGTTGCAGTTCCCTAATCTGCCTGTTTTCTTGTTGGATACCCATCACTAACGTAGACCGAGGACGATGTCTTGCTACTTCATTAAGCTCTTGAATTTCTTCTTGGTACTAGTTATTGGAAAAACAAAACCAAAACAAACCAGCCACAACATATTTGAGTAACCAAAGGCAAGCATTAATCAGCAAAATCACAAAGGAGCAGTTCTATTGTCAGTCAAAGTCTGTAACTAGTAAGATAATGCTTGGCTCTAAATAATAGTGTTAAACAAACAAACAGAAACCCTTCTGGAGGTATCGCTAGCATACTGCCCTTTAGAGACACAAAAGTATCACCTTTGTTTCATACAAGTTTCATACCTTAGATGTGTGCAGTGGGCATTAGTTAACCTTCAATTAATGCAGGTCAAGTTCACCATCAAGTAATTTAAAACTGATATACATATGGTAAAGAAATCCACGAGGTATTAACCTCTAGATATTTACTGTGGCTTCCCAATACCTTAAACCACAAGGCTGTATAGGTACAAGTCCTGTGGACCTGAACTCTCAGGTCTGTGGATCCCGGCTCTCAACAAATGGGTAAGTTTAATGCTCTCAGTTTGAAGTCATGAAGCCTCTGCATGACTGGTTTTACAGGGATGAAGCACATACAGGATTTTATTACTTTATAGGCCCATTAACACATCCTGTGGTCTATTAAAATGACAGGATGAACTCTCATGGAAAGTCATTGGACGCCTTTATGTTTTTCCAGGAGTTTTCTGGTGAAAAATCTAATGACCTGCCTTGAATAGCTAACATCAGAATGGAACTGATCACAAAAAAAAAAAAAGCCTAAGAAGCTAATTTGAAACAAAAGGAGGCAGTGATAGGTTAAAAGTATTCTGAACAGAAGAAAGCATGACTGGGCCTCTGCACGATTATATGTGCATGTTGTAATTAATAAAACAAGTATTTTCACAGCAGAGCAAAACACAAGCCACCATACAATGGGTTTGTAAGATACCAACTGAATTTCTAACAGTGTTCTTCAAATAAATGCCAGTTTCAATATTTAAGGTAGAGTTACAGAAAACTTCTTCACAGGATTGAACTAAATATATAAACAACCTATTTTTAGATTATAGTCACACCTCTAATGAAAATATGATAGTGTTAAAGGATTAATCAAATAACACACTAGTTTTACACTGTACAGTAGCACATAAAAATTATCTTAAACTATGTGTTTCCATGTGGTTCTCTTAAGGGAGGAAACAAAGTTGGAAAACAAACCTGTTTCATTGCTTCAACCCGTTTGTTAAGAGCTGTAGTCTGTTCAATCAGAGCTTCTGCTGCATTGTCATGCTCCCTCAGCCGTTCCACCAGTGCTTTCGCATCTGCTAAGGCTTTTTCGATTGTGCAACTCATTTCTGAAGATTAGAAACATGTTATTTTCACACCACCACCTGTTTGCTAAACAGAGAACAGCTATCTATGTGAAATATAGACATATATTTCTAGACTAAAGCAGCTGAATAAACCTTTGCCTCAGAAACATCCATTTTGTAGTATTTTATGAGTAGGAAGAAATTATGCCTCAAGTACACACTAAAGTCTTCCTTTTCTTTTCCTCCTTTTTAATTGCTGTTGAGACCACATATCAGAGCAAGGAAATGAAAGTAAACTTTGTTTTGAGGAGAGTATTAACATACCAAATGCCAAAGTAAAACTATTGAACATATGGGAGAGCATATATGCATGTTCTTCTGTAAGTAGCAGAGAAAAAAAAATGATTACATAACTATTTTATTTTTCAGTACTACCTATTTTTTTTAATGTGCCCTCCTACCAGTCAGATGTACTTCAAGATATTTAAGAAGCAGAACTCCTGCACAAAAGACAATGCTAAAGGTCTAAAGTGATGCATTAAATCAGCAGAGAAAGAAGAGCTCAAACTGACAGAATAGATACTTTGGTCATAAACAGAAATCTAAAGGCTCATGTTTTCTTCATGTCTGTAAAAAGAACACAAACATCATGTTTCACTGCATGGAATGGAACTGTAAAGTTTTCAGCAGGATAAAGACAGCAACTCAGCTAAGAAAAAGAGCTGACTGCACAGCTAAAACACCAGCCTTCTAATTGCAGTAGCTAGCAGAAATTACCTATAGTCAGAATTGCTAAACTTGCAAAACACTTGTGCATACCAGCATTTCCAAACTACTGGCCTTTACACTGAATTTTGTCATGCTCACGCTTGACAGACCAAGTTTCAAGACTGAGATTTTTAACCTAAGTTTTTGTTTTCTTTCAAGAAAACTGGTCCTTTTTCTACTAAAAAGGAAAACTGCTTAAACTTCTTGAACTGCTCTTGAGCAATCAGAGAGCAATGACAGAGGTTTACTAGTTATGGGCCTTACTGATACAAGACTCAAGATTTGTTTCAGGAAACTTCCCAAGGTACTGAAAGAATCAACTAAACCCATTCCTTAGCCAGGCTGCTTGGTAAAGGAGAGATGTTTTTAAGCATAAAAGGTTAATGAGCCTTTCCTTAGCTACAGAGAAGAAAAAATTGCTCCACATTGATTTTCTAACTCTCTTAGGCACCTTTGTAAATCATTTTACGCAAGCCTGAGGAAACCCTCCCATTTTCCTCACCTGAGCTTTTCCCACTGTCCTGAGTAGGTAGTACAAGTAAGGGTATTTCAAACCCCAGAAATTCCACCATTCCCCTCAAAAGATTTACAAACAGTAGGAATAACCAGTCCTCATGCACTAAGGTGGGGGAAAACTGAGCAAGACAGGAGCAGGGTATGGAAAGTTCTCTCTGAAGAGCTCTCAGGCACCCAGAATATCCTGCAAGGTCTAACCTTTCAACATTTTAATTGGGTAATTTCACTAGCTCTGAGGAGCACATGTAACACAAAAGCATTTACTTCACTTTTTCTGTGAACTAGAGAAGGGTCTTTCACAGACCATGCCATCACAGAAAGGTTGAGACTTGTTTGCTGATAAAGGAGCTTCAGCAAGTGAGCTTCCTGTATGCACAGAGCACAACGGTTTCAACCTGTGTTTGCTGTGATCCATGTGTTATCAAAACCATCAGTATTTCGTCATGTACAAGTTTCCTATTAGACATTCGTAATGTTAAATCCTTCCTGTTTACAAACTAGAGTTTTCATTTTAATTTCCATATGATGTGTGTATGTATTTGAGGTATCAAGTTCTTCAGCAGATTGATGTGTTATCACATTTATTCTATCTGGTTTAGCTATTTTAAATATTACGTGGAAAGGAATCATACTGCATCGTTTTCAAGGATGAGCTTTTCTTGCTCTTCATTTCTCCTTCCAGTTCTGGTCTCAGATTCTCACTGGACTACAAAAACATCACAGGCAAAAGATGACCTTCCACACTAGCTGGCTAAGCTGTTACAGAAATTGATTTAATCAGATCCATATTTAAGGAGAATTTGAAGAGCAGTCTTTAACTCAATTCACGGGTCATGAATTCTCTAGTAAGTATAAAACAAAGCCTCTCCATGAGCTTGGAATCTATCTGGCACTCAGACTACAATGCAGTTAACACCTCTGATAATTTGTATGCACCAACATAAATTTTTAAACACAGGGCACATGCCTGTGCACTCATTTTGACCCAACCCAGCCACACGAGATGAAAAGAAACCCGTCTGTAGCAAAGCCACTGGCATTCTTTTCCACAGCGAGTGAGTTGGGGAAGACATGTGTGTCCTGTGCAGAACCCACAGTGATAATCCACTGTAACCATGCAGCAGGTTCAGCAGGCCCACCTCCTGTTTTCAGGCAGGATTTTTACTTCAGAAAGGAGAATCGTTATTTCTATCATAGTAATTCATAGTGGCTCCAAATCTTGATCATTATTCCTGTGCGCAAGAGACTGGCCCTAATTCTTGGAAATCACTCTAGTTGCTCATCTGGCTGCCTGTGGAAAACAAATCTTTTGTCTTATCCTAAAATAGATCCAAATCTGTGAGCTAACCTGGACGTTTGGGGAAACCCCCCAATTAATCAAATATAATTGACTTATATTAATTCTTATTGCATATTATTCTTTTAATGAGCATGAGGAATATAGCTGCTAAATTTGGTGGCTCCTGACCTCTATCCTACAAGACATGCCCAGCTGCAAAGAGATTTGTTAGGCTGCAATCTTACCAACAGGGTCAACAGGTAGCAAGAGCAACAACTCAGAACAGCATAGCAATACTGGTACTGCATATTCATGTCCGGTCACTTCCTGCTATTTCCTAATTGCTTTCATTATCAAATTTGGCTGCCCTTTAAAAAATAAGCAACAAACCAACAGCAAAGAATAAAGATTTTTGCGCTGCTATTGCCTTCCTCTAGTTTTCCGTCGCTTTTTTTGTATCCTTACGGAAAACTACCTTTCCCAGTAGCTTAGTGCATTGGATCGCCCCTCTCCACGGTCACCAGCCCAGCAGGGCCGAACCTCGCCACGGTTTCTACTTGCTCCAGGCTGGGTGTAGATGCCCATGAGCACTCTCCTGGACAAAGCCCAGCCTTCACCGCGGCTCCCCGCAGCGCAACGCGCTACAGGAGCCTCCCAAACCACACACAGGCCCGGACCATAAACGGGGCCGGTGCGGCGCACGGCCACACGCCGGGCACACCTGCGGGCACCCCGTCGCTCGGCACCGGGGAGCGTGGGCCGCCGAGGCCTCCAACGCTAAGGCACAGGAGTCAGGACTGTCGCGACACGGCGGACACAAGAAGACTGACAAAGGCTCCCTCGCCTAGCGCCCGACTTGATATCACGGCCCCCCGTGTACCCCCACACCAGCCCACTGAACTCCTAAGTGCCCGGCGACACCCACCATCCCCCTCCCAAGCGCCCCTTCCCCGCTTATCAGCACTCACTCATGGCCGGCGGCTGCTGCAGCGCCCGGCGCCGGGGGTGCAGCCCCGACCGGCGCGGACTGGCCCGCCCCGCTGTCAAATGGCGGCGGGCCGGACGGCTGAGGCGGAGAGGGGGTTGGGCCGGCGTGAGGCGGCGAGCGGGTTCCCTGCGCCTCGCGAGACTGCCGCCCTTTGGCTCCTCCTCCTCCGCGCCGTGAGGGAAGTGGCGCGCGGCCGGGCGCAGGGGCTGGGGTCGTGATGGGGGGCGAGTGAGCACGGCCTGCCGCCGCCGGGGTCCGGGTGGCTGGCGCGGCCGCGGAGCGCAGCGGGGACGGGGGGAAGGAGGGAGGAAGGGGAGAGGCGCTCCCCCCGCCAGCGCTGGGGGAGCCGTGGTGCCAGCGGCGTAAGTGGCCGCGCGGGGGTCCCGCGGCCTCAGGGGTGGGCGGAGCGGGGTGGGCTTCGGCCGCTTCTCCCACCCCCGCGGGCGCCGGCCGCGGAGGCAGGAGCTGGGCCCCGCGCTCGTCGCGGAGCCGGCGGCGGAGGAGGAGGAGGAAGCAGGCGAAGGGGCATGGAGGTCGCCTGGGCGGAGGCGTCCGCGCCCGACCCTGTCTAGGGCGTCCCGTGGGCCTCATTCCTCCTCCTCGGAGCGAGCCCGCGGGCGGGCCCGGGCGCGCCGCGGAGCGGGGCCGGGACTTCTGCATCAGAGGAGGAGCCGGCCCAGGTGAGAAACGCTTCCCTTCCCCTGCCTCGAGCCTGCGGGCGGGCCGGCACCGACCTCGCCTCCTCCGCACCCCGCCGGCCCCTCCTGCCTGCTTGGCCCAGGCGCTCTGCCAGGCTAAACATGAGGGGCAAACTCTTGGGCCAGGACCACCGGGCTTGGCTGCGACCGAAAGAGGTGAACTGTGCCCCGGCAGCTGCACCTGTTGCCGAGGGAAATCGTCCCATCATCCCCCCCCCAGGTTCTGAACGCAGTTGACTTGTATAAGTCATAGAATCACAGAATGGTTTGGGTTGGAAAGGACCTTGATCATCTAGTTCTAGCCCCCTTGCCTTGAGCAGGGACCTGTCGCTCAAGGCCCTGTCCAGCCTGGCCATGAACACTGCCAGGGTTGGAGCATTTACAGTCTTTATTGGTTTAATATTTTAGCTTATTAAATGAGCTCATATGTCTTTGGTCTTGTATATTCTGTAATTAATCAGCATTTGTGTGGACAAAATAGATTTTTATATTAGAAATGTTATGGAAGCATCTGGAAGTTGAGTAAATTTGAGGAGCGTTTGATCTGAGAATAGTGGTCTAAATAGCACTAGTCTGAGATTGATTTTCATATGTAGTTTGGGTCTTTAGGACACAAGATCTGATGTTATAGTTGCTTCAGAAGTATTTCAGCTATAGGAGAGCAAAACCCAGTCTGTTTTGAAACAGGAAGGTGTACCACACTTCATGGCAGAGCTCCCAGGCTTCATAGTTGGGACGAATACCAGAGTGCTCCTATGAGTCTTGCTTGATAAGAAACACATGCATTATAATTTCAGACTTGGTGTACCTGTCAGTGAGAGATCAAAGTACAGATGCAAATGTTGATTTAAAACCAGATGTATCTAGTGAAGTGAAGGCTGAAAAATCTACTTGGAAGTCTGATGTTTATGCAGCTTCAAAGTTTGTATAGCCTAATTATAAATTAATTTTTTTTCCATGTTGCTTATTTTAGGAAATAAGCTTTAAGTAGGAAGCAGTTTGTGTACTTTTATCCCCCGCAAAGTATCCTTTAATTAGAAAAGTGGGGAGGATAATAGTGTGCATTGGTCTTACCTTTTCAACACTGTACTTTTCTCTGTTTTTTTCCTCCTAAGGTTAGGAAATAGAAATCTAGTATTCTAAATACATATCCTAGCAAGAGTTCTAAAGGGTATGTAAATAGATTCTTAAACTGGGAATTTTGTTGGTTGTATTTTTTTTTTTAAAGCTTAATAGTTTTGTAGGAGCTAATGTATGTGATGCATAATCTAACTACTGCAAGAGGTAACCTTTGAAACTTGCATAGTCTAGTAAGATAATTTTTACACTTACTAAGTTGCGCAGTAATCTCGATTTGATTTTTTTCTTGCTTTGTACAATTTTGTTCAGATTTTTATATCTGCTTCTTTTAGGAAGAAAATGAAAATCTTTTCTGAGTCTCATAAAACTGTTTTCGTTGTGGATCACTGCCCGTATATGGCAGAGTCCTGCAGGCAACATGTGGAATTTGATATGTTAGTAAAGAATCGGACCCAAGGAATTATACCTATAGCACCCATATCAAAATCACTCTGGACCTGTTCGGTGGAATCATCGATGGAGTACTGTAGAATAATGTATGATATTTTCCCTTTCAAGAAACTGGTAAGTTCTAGCCCCACTGCAGATGATACTTTATAGCATAAGGGGTATTTCCTCATTTTATTGTAGTCTTTTAATATTGTTAGCTGGTGGTTAGATTAAAAGATCAAATATAATTTATTGTATAAAAATTTATTTCTGCTGTTGCTACACTTCATAGCTATTTAAATGAGTTCGAGTAGTACATGAATCCCAGTACATGTTTATGTTTGGATCCTTTCATTGTCTTAATGTCACTTTGTAACTTGGTGAAAACATGGAGAGGTGCTTTAAGTAACTTGCAAATACTGTGGTCTCCAGTGCTATAAGTTTATGAAAACTTGAGTGAGGTATTGTTTCAAATTGAATTTGGTTTCTAAACATGCTTGGTAACAATGCATAAGGTTTTTGGTCTCAACTTTGAAGTAATTCTGGGCTTTCGGGACAGGTAGGCTTGCCTTTCAGTTACCAGTCTGAAAAAGTGGGAGAGCTTCCTGGAACACAGCTCCTTGTTTAGAAAAATAAATCCCTGCTGCGTTCTGTAACACTGTATCATAAATTAAGGTACTGATCCTTGTTTTTTAGATCTTTTCTCACTGAGTAAACCATTGTGCAATGTCCTAAAGGTTAGTTACCCTTAAAAGAAAAACAAAAAAGAAAGTAAAACATCCTTATGACAGTGATATTGGCACAAAATAGGGATGGTGAAATACTGGCTATGTCAGGGAGCAGCTGAGCCAGGGGCTGGGCACTAACAAGTACATACAGTAGTTCAGTGGTTTGATGCATGTCATCCGCACTGCCTTGATGGATTACATGTCCTGGTTCTCAAGACAGTGAATGTTGAATTTAAACTCTGGAACATTTAATATACAGTCAAGTCCCATTGGGGGATTATATCAAGTGTATGCTTAATGGATTTGAATCAGTTGGCTGAACTGATGCCTCTACTCTGCTCTTGTGAGACCTCACTTGGAGTATTGTGTGCAATTCTGGTGTCCTCAACATAAAAAGGACATGGAACTGTTGGAACAAGTCCAGAGGAGGGCCACGAGGATGACCAGGGGACTGGAGCACCTACCATATGAAGACAGGCTGAGAAGGTTGGGGCTGTTCAGCCTGGAGAAGAGAAGGCTGCATGGAGACCTCATAGCAGCCTTCCAGTATCTGAAGGAGGGCTATAGGGATGCTGGGGAGGGACTCTTCATTAGGGACTGTAGTGATAGGACAAGGGGTGATGGGTTAAAACTTAAGCAGGGGAAGTTTAGATTGGATATAAGGAAGAAGTTCGTTACTGTGAGGGTGGTGAGGCACTTGAATGTGTTGCCCAAGGAAGCCGTGAATGTTCCATCCCTGGTGGTGTTCAAGGCCAGGTTGGACAGAGCCTTGGGTGACATGGTTTAGTGTGAGGTGTCCTTGCCTATGTCAGGGGGGTTGGAACTAGGTAATCTTAAGGTCCTTTCCAGCCCTAACTATTCTATGATTCTGTGGTATGGGAAACTCGAGGTGGCAGGTGTGCTTCCTCTTGACTTTTTTGTCATCATTAGAACTTATGGTGCTATGTGATATTTAGTAAATTTTGCTCGGTATTTACCCTTGTGATCTACTGTGACAGTCTTTGGAGAATGACTTGCAATATTGCAGTATAAGTATTTATTCTGTAGCTATTCTCCTGAAAACATTGCCTAATTATTAAAATTCTTCATAACACCCTGCAATGCTAATTTGGTCTAGAAACCGATTTAGTAGCTTAAAAATATGAACAGAGTAAGAAGTTGCTAACTGCAATGTTACAAAAGGGTAACTGAATGTAGTAGGAATGAATGCTTTTTGTGGTTTTGTTGTCGTCTTTTTAGTTTGCCTGGTCATCTCCAGAATATCAGAAGAATGAGGGTGTAATTCATATTTGTTTGGATTTGGGGAAGTAGCCGTAATGGCTGTTATCTGTATGATTTGATATAGTAAGATCTTACGTGTCCTTTTTTGATCCTTTTAGGTGAATTTCATTGTGAGTGATTCTGGGGCTCATGTCTTGAATTCTTGGACTCAAGAAGATCAGAACTTGCAGGAGGTATGCTTTGTATCTGTCCTTTTGGGTTTTAAGTCTAGATTAATTGTGGACTAAACAGCAGCTTCTTACTATGTTAAGTATGAAATAACTTTGGTTAATTAAAACAGCGGACCTGGTCTGAAATTGTATAATAGAATTTTAAGAAGCCACCTGTGAGGATGGACTGTTCTATAGGCAGCTTTACATAAGTTAAAAAGAATCCAGCAGCTTTGAGTTTAGAGTTATATATTAAGTGTTATGAGGAGATTACCTATGTATTTCTTCTGTAATTTGATGATACTGCTTGAATTTTAAATTTGGTTTTCTTTACATTTGCACTATAGGCAAATAAACTGTAAAAAAGTGAATATTGTCTTTGCTCTTGTTTTGTTTAATACTGAATGGGCTCATCCTCTGAAAAATTTACATTTACTTTGGGGAGGAACTGAATTTCCAGAATCTCGGAGAATAAAAGCAGGTGGTAACTGATAATATTAGAATTGATTTCAGGTATTGAATATAACTTGTTATTATAGCTAGGTATTTTTCAGTAAGAAATGATAATGTATAAGGCTTTGTAACACTTGATGAATGAATTGTAAAGGATAGTTTAGGGCCAAATGTTTTCAATAAGATTGGCAGCATATAATGGTCTTTAATAGCTCTGTCTGGTTTTCTCTCAATATTAATTTGCGTGTAAAATCAGTTATAATGATGAC